CATAGATAATAATTCTTTACATTTGATAGATGAATGTTTTATCACTTATACATGTGGTCAAAATTTTCCACACTATAACTTGTCTTTCCTCTTTCTTATTAGTTACTTTGATAAACAGACATATATAATTTCAACAAAATGCACCTTTTTTCAGTGTATTCCTTGCCTGTTTCATGGTCATGACGTGAAAATGAAAAAAGAAAAAAGGAGTAATTCAGAGGGATATGTGCATGTAGTGGATTGAGAAAGAGAAATCAAGAACAGCACCTAGTTTGTTGGTATGAGTAACTATATGATCAGTGTTCTCATCTGCTGTAATGGGAAAATTCTAGAAATAGGAGACACAAGCCAAGATTCTATTTTGAATACATTAGGTTTAACATGATCTTTACCTGTATAATTGAAGATTACATGATTGGGTATATGCCTCATGTTCATGGGAATGTTTGACTATGGATTTAAATTTGGCCACATGATGTTTAAAGACATGGTACTGCATGCGAGTTCCTAAAAATATATATAAAGAAAAGGGTGCAAGAACAATGCTGGGATATGCCTGAACTTGCAAAACAAACAAACAAACAAAACAAAACAAAACCAACAAAAAACCCTAAGAGTAGTTAGTGAGGCAAAAAATCAGGGACTGGTTTATGACATCAAATCTAAGAAAGGAATGTAATGCAAGAAGAATCCTGCTGAGATGGCAAATAAGATAAAATCTGAGAAACATCATTGGACTAGGCTATATATAAGGTATTTTTTATCTTGACAAAAGCAATTTCAATGGGTTGGTTAGAGAGAGAGATATTGTGTGATGAGTGAAGTATAGACAATGAGGTCAGGTCTAACTTTCAAAAGCATGTTCTGCAGTAGGGAAGATAATAAAAATAGAGGAATATTTAGAGGAAAATATGGAATCAAGGGGATGTTTCAACTTTCCAAAAGGGGGAGCGACATGCTCTAACATCTCACGGTAGGAGATCCAGAGCTCAGTGGACGAGAGCTTTAGATCAGATATGGAAGGACACCTGTGGTCCAATTTAAGAGTATGGAAGCCATGGTATATATAGATACAGATCTAGGTCTGTTTGGCAGCAGGACAGAAACCGCACTGGATTTGTATTTTATAAAAATTATTCTAGTTACAGAGTGAATAATGAATTGATATGGTTATTATAATATTCAAAGTGAGATATGGTTAGAGCCTCACTTATCGGAAGGGCACAGGTGATGGAGGAGGGGAAGCAAGATGACAGACATTAAAAAGAGAATAGACTGGGGTTGATTATAGATTAGAGGCAGACAAGTTAAAAGTAAAAGAAAGTATCTGAAGATAATTCCTACTTATTGTCCTCGGGGACAAGTGATGGCATCTTATTATTTAGCTAAAGAATACTAGAGCGAGGAGGGAAAAGTTTAGAGAAAAGAAGTATCATTTGAACATATACATTTTAGGTGCCTGGGAGATGTGCAAGTGACTGACAGATACATGCTTTGCATTTCAGCCTGTTATTTTAGACCTTGACCCAAGTCTATGTGCAATACAAGCTGTGATGTCTTTATTTCAATTAATAATAATGGTCAATTTGCTTTTTCAATTATGACATTTTCAGCCTCCAGACACATGAAATAATCAAAATGCATTGAACAAATAAGTGCAGAAATTGCTCCTGTTAAATTAAACAAACATTAAAACACCTAACCTAATATTCCATATCAAGAGAGGCATCAGTGCTTTGAGTAAAAGTAATAGTTTCTGTCTCAGCCATACTAAGCTATCATACTTAAAATAACTGATTATGATAGTGTAGGTTACTTATCTAAAACTTTCAAAAGACATAAACTGCATTTAATTCATCTAATTGATTATATGGCCAATGTATAAACAGGGATATATTTAGAATTTCCATTCCCCATCTTGACAGACAAACATTTATTTTCTGTACACAGTACATATATATTACAATTGTATGCAAATATAGCCTAGAGAACATTTGTGTAGAAATTGAAAAAAATTTTTGTTTCATAGATGGTTAAGATTGGAATGAAAGTAACACATTACAATTTCTAATGTGATTCTTTTCATTTTCAGAAAGATTGTATTTTGCCCAAGGAAGATATGTTCCTTTATACGGATATTTCTCTTTCATGAATTTATTTATTTAGTTTTACCAAAGCTTAGGTAAGGAGGTAACAATGCATTTTTGAGATTGCTATGGAATGTTCCAGATAATTTAAACTTAATTATGGCATTTTGTTTGATTGCTTCAGTAGTATTGCCTTTCACTATAAATTTGGAAACAAAACACAGTTTATGTGAAGATTTTTATACACAGCTTTGAGACTTTAAGCCATTCTCTACAAAAATGAATATTAAAAAGTTACCCTCTCTCCCCCCATTCCTTCTCATAAAGATGGCAGTACATGTGGAAAGAACCGTGACCAATAATCTTGCATAACATGACAAGCTTATCAACTTAGCACTGCAGGCTTTGCACATGGGCAGGAGGTGAGAAAGAGAAAGTAAACTTCCTACTCTGTGCCAGTCATTATCACAGACTCTGCATACACATGGTTACATCTAATAGCCACATTTCTGTGAAGTTGGTGTTGACTGTTGTCCATCCCATTTCAGAGATGATCAAGTGATGTTAACAGATTATTATCTATTTTCCCAAATTCACACAATTTAGTGACTGAGCTGAGATATCAGCTCAGATCTAAACCTATCGACCCAAGCTCTACCAACTACATCATTCTGGACATGAAGCAGGTTAACTCCCTAGACCTATGTAGGGAATGCTGGGCTGAGATTGTTCCTGTGGGCCCCTGAAATTCTGAAGGCATTTTACTTTTTGGTTTTTGATTCTTTCAACAAGTCAAATTGGTTTAAAAATAATTCACATTAATTAATGCTTGGAAAGGACAGATTTCTTATCAAACTCAATGACAAAGAAAGTAAGACCTGGGTCCCACACACACAGGAATTAAAAATCAGGGACTGAGATTATGTTCTTTGCCTCTCTAGGTCTTCATGCTTCCTCTCTTCTCTATTTTTTTATATCAACAGTATTCTTCTTCAGTAAGTCCCCTCTATTGAATGTACTCCTAGCCCATCAGAGCTACAGATCCTGTCTACTACCATAAAGTCCAGATTTTTGCTGTGTCATAAGGTAGCTATTAGCAACATATGGCTGTTTAAATTCAAATTAATTAAGTGCAATAAATAAAAATATCAGTTCATCTGTCTTACTACCCACCTTTCAATTGTTCAATAGTTACATTTCTATCATCACAGAAAATCCAATTGAACAATACAGTTCCAATTGTTTGATGTCTATGCAGCCTGGTCCAAATTTTCAACTTATTTCAGACATTTCATGGAAGTTCTTGATCCCTCGCACAATATTCCCTACATAAAAGTTCCACAATATTTTCTCTGAGACTGTGTTTATCTCAGAATTAAATAAGGACTTACAGAGCTCAAAACTATTTTTTCAACATTTTCCAAATATATCGGGAAATTCATTCTTTCCCTGTTTTACCTCCATATATAATGCTCTTTGAAATTACTCTATGAGCACAATTGTTTAATATTTTTGGCTGGAATATATTATTGTTAGTGATATAAGTAAGGAGCGTAAACTTTATTTTCAAACTAGGTCTAAAATGTCAACTTATTTACCCAGGAAGCAATACCCAGAGAGTTTTATCCACAACATACATCTGTGGGTTTGTGTATGGTTTGCCTATGACCTTGTGAACACATTTAGGACACCTCCCAGGGCCATGGAAATTGATGTACAGGTGGGTGCACAATACTTACAATTTATTGGCTACAGAGAAAATTTGTCTCCTACCCTTGGCGTGTGCTTTTAGAGCATTTTATTGTAATTTAGAGAAGGGTTTATGAAGGCTGTGGACAATTAAACAGTGACACCAAAAAAATAAAATTCTCTATGAGCATCGTGCTTTATCAAGATCATGTCGTCCTGTGCTTCAAAGAATCTGATTAGTAGGTATACTGTTAGATAACACCATTATCAGTAAGTGATTCTCTCAGAGAAGATTACATAAATTAATCTAACCTCCAGAGACTTTTAAATGTAATTAAGGTTTATGATAACTGAGTTCTTTGGATGAAAGGAGCTTTTGAAATAAACTGCTTCTTCATGTTATTACATTGCTAATGACAGAAAAACATATATTAGAATATTATTTATATGAAAATTGGACTACAGTCCCAGTGTGTGAACAGAAAGGAAATCCAGTGCTGTACATACTTTTATTATTCTTTTATATAAAATTCCACCCAATGTTGTACTAGGATAAATAGCAGGTCAATTTAACAATTTTAAATTAGCTTAATATTTAGCTTAATAATCTTGGACATTTCTCATCAGATTGAAACTAAATCATGTAACATCTCTTATACCAATATTTTCCAAAACCAAATTTAATGGCAGGTATATTTTTCACATCTAATAATTACAGATATAAAATTCCATTATGCTCACTCCTTAGTTGGTGTTAAAACTCTCATTGCCTCTAACCTAGGCCATTTAAATACCTTCCTAGCTAGTGTCCCTTTCTCTGTTAGTCTCTCCTCTTTCCAAATCATTCTATACACTTATTTTATTAAGGAAGAGATAGAAGACAATTTGAAACATTCCTTAGGAGAGAAGGAATTCCAGATCTAACTCACTGTGATTTGGAAGCATTATTTTATTTGTATAATATTGACTTTTTATCACCCGTAAAATAAAAGTATGTGTCTTTCTGGATTATTATAATGATTAAATGATAATCCATGGGCAAAGAGCAGGAATAAGATAGAACCCCAATTCTCTTAACTGTATAAATTTGCAATGTCTCCTCATTATGGATCACAGACCAATCACCTTACTAAGACAGCCAAGTCCTGCATCAAAGAAGCATGTCCCCTTTCCAGGTTTTCTAATTCTGTTATCCCGGCCAAACCGGAAGTATCAGTGCTTGATGAAGAGGGATTTCCTTCTTCCACTCTTAGCCTGAACTTCTCTTGAAAGCCATGCTGTTACATACCCTGCCCGCTCCACCTGGAATGACCCAACCCTTCACTTATTTTATATAAACCATATCGACTTCTAGTCTTCTACCCACTTCCCTCAAGACACTCGTGAATTCCCACAGCAGAAATCCCCTAACAAAGGAGTTGTCTCTCCGGTGCTCTTGGCTCGCTTTGGCTTCTTTGCATTCACCTGTGTGTCCTCCATAGCCACGTGGACCTGCGGACCCCACAGGCAAGGGACTGATGGACTGCAGAGGGAGAACACAAACTAAGCCAGCTCGATGCTGCACTGGACTGTGCAAACATGGAAAGGAAATTCTGGACACTGGCTCTGATTTTAGCCCTGCTAAAGGCAAAATGGGACTTCTTCCTTAGCAGGACTGAGAAGAAAGAAACCTTAGAAACTCAGGAGTTTGATTCCACAGAAATAAAGCTTTCTACAATATTGCATCCACCTGTGTGAGTCTTAGAAAGTTCTTTTCCTCAGCATATCACAAGAAATCACTCTCCACTAGTAACAGGGTGAGACGAGGACCTCTCCTCTCCATTAACAACATTACACATAATCTCAACCATTCGTCAATATCAATTATGAGGTGGATTCCATTTTCCCATTGAGAAGATCCATTAAAAACTTTGTTGACCAACTTGAATGTCTAAAGTCCAGGGTTCTAGATAATATTAGACAATATTACTATGTTTAACTTGTTAATGTAATTACATACACATTTAATATTTAAACGTACAACAATATATCACTGTTAAATATTATTTATCTATTCACAAAATCATAAGATAAGTAAAGTATTACTTATTTTTTGCATTTGTGGAAAATTTTGCTCAGGGAGTCTGGGATCCTCCCACAGCCTCTTGTATAAAATGATTCCAGATAGCCCCATGGTGATTTAAGTTGGGGCGAGAATGTAGAATGCTTTTGGACACTGAGGCATATGAAGAAGCCCATTGTGAAGTTTAAAAATAAAATAATTCTTGCAGATAAAGGAGACAGAAACTTAATTGTGCCTTTGGACATAATTGTTCAAGGACAAAATATACATAGTTATGACAGCTGTTTAAGTGTGTATGGCATCCTGTCTTGTACCTCTAAGGGCTTATGACTGAAGGTGAATATCAACACACTTGCAGAATAGCAAAAAATGACGGGAGTACTTGGGTCATTGATACATTACTGAGTCATCAAACTAACCCTAATAATACTGCAACTTCTTGATATTCTATCATGACGGTTAGTAAATATCCTCATTGAAGCCACTTATAGTCAGACAACCTATACCTCAAATTTTTGACACAACACAATAAAACATGACAAAAAGTTAGAAAAATGGCAGCAAAGTTGACTTAGGCATGTTTTAACATGCTTTCAAATGTGCCACAGCAGGAAGAAGTAAAGTTGACAAGTGATGCTCATTATTAAGCAACTATTACATACAATAGTTTCAGAAATATCCTATTAGTGTCCTATCACCATCTTCATTTCTTTAGTAGCTTCCAAGGCAAGAAAATCACAGGCACCTGAAGATACTTGTTAAAATGTATATTTATTAGGCAATTCCCCAGGGTTCATGAATCTGCATTTTAAACAACGACCTCAAAGTGATTGTTATAAAGACTAAAGTGAGGCTGGCTGGCAAGAGGTAAATTTTATATGCTAAACCCAGTAGCTCCCTCTCAGACAGGTTACACACTTCAAACAACTGGAACTTGGTACATACATACATACATACTTAGTAATCATGTTTAGGACTCATACAAAAAGTCCAGACCCACCCCTGCAAGGCTGGACCTCAAAGACCGGAGAGCTGAGGCTGACGATAACACACATCACACTCTAGGTAACTGGCATGTTCAGGGGGGTGAGTAATTGAATCTTCAAATGGGGCTACAGTACTTCCTTTTTGGGAAGACATACAATTCAAGGACTAATAGAAATGCAGAAGAGATTTCAAGCAGGATGAGGTCTGAGAAGATACATTTGTTTCTGGTAATTAAATAAATTGAAGAACTAAGTAAGATAAATTCAAAACAGTGTCTGCTCCAAAATCAAGAGAGTTCAGGATAAAGAATGGCACTTGTGAAGGAGCAGATAATGAGTATAGATGACTCCGTCAGCAAATGCTGGGTAAGGGAAGAGAGAAACCAGTGAAGAGAGAAGTAGTCCCATTGTCAACACTATGTCTGTACCCCATATTCTAAAGACACTGTCCCTTTTAATTAGAGGTGACAGATAATCAACTGTGTTATGTTACTGTATCAACAGAAACATTTGTAATGGTTATTCATGGCAAAGGAAGGGGCTAGTGCTTGCTTCTATCACCCATTTAAAGAAAGCTGAATTAATAAATAAATGGAATATTTAATAACAGTAATTCAAAAATAGGCCATTTAAGTGTCACAAAACTTACCTTAAAACAATTGAAAATGTAAGGGAAGTGAAAAGAAAGTTTAGTAATGAGTCTGGTGGAAACAACTGAGTCGGGTTGTTTATCCTGAGCAGGATGCAAGGGTGATTTCTTTTCCGGGTTCTTGCCCAGATGGATTCGAAGGATAAAGCCATGGACAAAAGGTGGTAGATGAAAAGGGTGGAAATTTATTGGAAACAAGTACAGACTCCCATGTAGGGAGGGGTCCCAAAGGGGATAGTCCCCTAAGCTCTTTTTTTCTAAGGTTTGTAAAGGCTGCAGTTCTTTGTCTCTTCACACTGCCTTCCAATTGGTAGAATATCAGCTCAAAGCTCAAAACCCATGCAGGCCCCGTCTTCCTCTCCCCCTTCAGTGGTAGAATTCTCTATCTCCTGTGAAAATCCATTTTCCTCTTTCTCCCATTTGTCAGCATTTCTCTCTCCTCTGGGAAAGTTTGTTTCCTCTTTATTCCCATGCCCTGTGGCTTTTCCCTATCTTCCGTGAATGGATGTCTTCCTCTCCCCTTATGCTGTGGCACCCCATTTTTTTTCTCTTTGTGAATGTATACTTTTTGGCTGCTCCAAGCCCTCATCTTTGCCTTCCTCCCTCATGGACACTCTTTACCCCTAATACTGCTTACACCTGCCTATTTTATCCCTAAAACTCCTTTCAGTAATATAGCAAGAGTATGCTAGAGCAAGTAGGAGCTGTCAGTATTCTTTCTAATTGCACAAGCAAATGTCAACCTTATTTTCTTATCCACCAGAGGGCCATATCTCTTCCCTATGACTGAAGTATAAGTCAAAATTTGGGCTAGCCAAACACATTTTCTAGTTTCTATAAGACAAATTATCAAATGATGTGTCATTGAATAATCTTGTTTATTATTAAAATATCATAACCTGTGGTTATTTCCATTTTATCAACATGAAAATTGGTGACCAAAAATCAGTATTATATTTTCCCACTCTGCTCTACCATTTTTTTTTATCAAGAAATTTATTCAAGATCGAAATTAAAGTATCTCAAACTAAAAATAAATAAATAAATACAGAGCCCTACCAAATTCATTCTCCTAAGTAGTGTTGAGTTCATCACTATCACTCAGCTGTTAGGACAAATATGTTATTGCTTGATAAGTTCTCCAGGATTAGTGTCTCATTTTTTGAAACACCAATACAGTCATCTCTAAAATGGGTTAAAAACAGACTTGATTGTAGTGGCTCCATTGCAAAACAATGGGCCATCTGTTTCATTAAGTCTTTTAACAGTGCTCAGTCCTTCACTGCCTCTTGGCTAAATCTGTTTTTATGTGCTGTGGTTTTTTTTCTAGAATTGTTGAGTTTCAGCCAGCCTAATTCACTACCCTCTTCAAGAGTTGTTCTCCTTCTGAACGGGGAGGAGGGGAGTTATGGGGGAAAAAAGAGGAACTGACCAAATAATCTGAACAATAAAGATTTAAATTTAAAAAAAAAAAGAAAAAAAAAGAAATTTATTCAAGATCGAAATTAAAGTATCTCAAACTAAAAATAAATAAATAAATACAGAGCCCTACCAAATTCATTCTCCTAAGTAGTGTTGAGTTCATCACTATCACTCAGCTGTTAGGACAAATATGTTATTGCTTGATAAGTTCTCCAGGATTAGTGTCTCATTTTTTGAAACATCAATACACGCATCTCTAAAATGGGTTAAAAACAGACTTGATTGTAGTGGCTCCATTGCAAAACAATGGGCCATCTGTTTCATTAAGTCTTTTAACAGTGCTCAGTCCTTCACTGCCTCTTGGCTAAATCTGTTTTTATGTGCTGTGGTTTTTTTTCTAGAATTGTTGAGTTTCAGCCAGCCTAATTCACTACCCTCTTCAAGAGTTGTTCTCCTGCTTAATAGCTTAGCATCAGCTGGCTCAGCCACTGAATGACTATCAGAATGTTATTGCCTCTTTCCTCCCCACATTTTTTTTTATTTAGACGTCTATTTTCTCTAGTAATGAGAAATAGCTGTTATACATTTGAGCAAAAATAATAGTTTTATATGATATAATGTATTATTCTAAAGAAATACCTAATAGATGTGTATTACATATACACTTGTAAGTGTATATATAATAAAAGTGGTGTCTTTTTTTCTTATCATTTCTATGTCATAGATATTCAGTATTTGACATTAATTAGATATTATCACTAAAATATTAGCATCTGGAAGATACTTTTGATGGTCTTCATACCACTCTTTTCACCACCTTTCCTTTTTAGAAAGAGAATTGTGATTTTATTTAGTAAACCACTTCCATCAACTTAGCTCTTTGCTTTAGCTTTCTCTCCCAAGGAGGTAATCCTAATTAGATCTCAAAGACTGACTATTTTACTCTTATTTTATTAAGAAAAAATGATCAAGTAGAATTAATCATTCATATGTTGAGAAACTATAAATGAGATCCTACTACACCATACACACTTCTGACTTCCGGGGAACCAATGCTGAGGGAACCTCTATTCACAGCCGAGCTGTGATAAATGCTGTATGAGTAATATGCAGACAGTAAATAAGGAGAACAATAAAAGAAGGTCAATCTGACTGGAAGGACAGGGAGATGGCTTCAGAAAGCAGGCTGGATAGATGAGAAAAGGCAACATGTCAGGGAAAAGATAAAGTTTGGTAACAGTACAGTGAGTCAAGGTAATTGCTTGTAATTCACCACAAATGTGACATAAAGTATAAGGAATGAGGAGGCATACGTTATACCTTAATCTGCATCCTGGGGGACTCTGAATACCAGCAAAAGAAATTAGTCTTCATCCTGAAGGTTTTAGTCTGGGGATGGTATGAATGTGACATATTAAGATTTATAATCCAGACAGATTATTTAGTTACCACCATGAAGGAAAGCCTGAGATTGTTCCTAGACTATCATAGAGGGTCAGAGCTTGTCCCTCTGAAGAGGTGGTGGTATTGGAGATAGAGAAGATAGAACTGATTTGAAGAATACTTGAGAGATAATATCAACAAAGTTGGTGAGCGAGTGAATGTGGAAAATTAGTTGATGATGCTTTTGGGTTAAAACCTGTTTTTTAGTTTAGGCTATTGAGGATATTGTGAGGTCATTAATATAAAGTTGAAATTCTGTGAGAGGAGTAGATTTGTAAAGTGTATAAACTGGGTTACTTTTTTGGACATATTGAGTTTGAGGTCCCTATGGTCCATTTAAATAAACAATTGGGTACATAGATTTGTAGTGCATGCTGGATATAAGATGTGGGAGTCATCAGTATCAACAGCAGTCATAAATACAAAAGTAAATTTCAAGCATCCAGGGAGAGTTGACAGCAAGAAGAGGGTACTGACACAGGGACACTTGAGACTATCCACATATTTGGGATATAAAGAGACCAGTTACGACAACATAACAACCAGAAATGTTAGAGAGGTGGGAGAGAAATAACAATCAACATTTAATAATTCAAAAATAAATCACACAAAAAGTGAGAAGTAGTATTCATTGGGCCCACTATTAAGAGTTAATTGCTAATTTTCAATATTTTCAGATGCATCACCAATTAACAGAAAAGTGATCTAAACTCATAAATCAATATGGCTCCCAAATAAACCATATTAAGATTCTTTTCTGATGTATACGCTCCTCAAAGGTATAATACTCATTATACCATGTCATTAAAATAAATTTTAACACCTGTTTATTAATTGCATTTATCTACATCTTAGTAATTTACAAATCCTCAAAATGTAGGTATTTTGTGTCAAAATTTAAAGGTGATAAAAAGGTAATCATCAATTTGTATTGAAACTTTCATCTAGCTAAGTCAAAATGTAAGATAAACTTTTTATTCTCAAATATCATATATTGCACTTTATTACAAGGTATATTATATAAACATTAGAAGGCAAGATAAGAAAATCTCTAAGAAGATGAAACCAAGAGGAAAATTAATGGATAATAGCAAGGAAGTGTTAAGAGGATTAATCTAAGAAGTTTAATACACAATTAATAAGAATCTAGACAAAAGAATAAATGGACAGGAAATTACCAAAGAAATAATTCACTGATATTTCCAGAATTGAATAAAATAACTCACCAAAAGTTAGAAAAAGATGAATTAAAATAGGCCTACAGTGTACATTTTAATGAAATTTTAGAATGCCACAGAAAAGGAAAAATTCTAGAGTTGCTAAAGAATAAAACAACAGTTACATAGAATGAAATTTGGATATAAATTACATTAGAAGTCTCTAACACTGGAATTTTGAAGACAATGAAATAAAGCCATCAAAATTTTTAGAAAAATAGTTTCAACCTAAAAATTCTGAAACTTGGCAAACTGTGAAGAGAGACCATGAAAGGAAGAGTGAAATATGGAAGTTTTGAAAATTTTACATACCTTATACCTCATCTCAAAAGCAACTAGAATAGGTTTCCCAAATGTGATAAACTAAATTTGGGGGAAAAAAGACATGGGACCCAGCAGTGTGTTCACCATAGGCGAGTAGCAAAGAGAAGTGTAACATGAAGAGAGTTCTCAGCATGACAACTCTGCAGCAATCTTAAGTGTAGAAAGTTATGTGATAGGTACATCAGAAAATGCATGATTTTTAAAAGCAATTCTCTTATACAGAAAAAGATGAGAGAACATACTTGGAGTAGCCCAGCCAGTGTTGCTCAGTGGTTGAGTGTTGACCTATGAACCAGGAGGTCGAGGTTAGATTCTGGTCAGTGCACATGCCCAGGTTGTGGGCTCAATTCCTAGTGTGAGGCGTGCAGGAGAAAGCCAGTCAATGATTCTCTTTCAGTATTGATGTTTCTATCCCTCGCTCCCTCTCCCTACCTCTCTGAAATCAATGAAATATATTTTTTAAGGAAATAAAATACTTATGATAAACACAACATTTACATAGTTTATCACGATGCAGGAATATTAATATTATATTTAAAAGCATAATATGAGCATAAAAGGATGGAGGAAAGGAGCAAGAATAGTAATTAAGACTGATACTTCCTTACCTTTCATAAAATGAAATAATGTCTGAACTTCATACTTCAAAAACTAGCACTGCCGAAACCGGTTTGGCTCAGTGGATAGAGCGTCGGCCTGCGGACTGAAAGGTCCCAGGTTCGATTCCGGTCAAGGGCATGTACCTGGGTTGTGGGCACATCCCC